CACATATTCCTATGCACAAGTATATAGTAGAATAATCCCTCTCTAATTATAAATGCCCTTTTAATTATTCAGTTATTACTGATTGGGTTTCCTAAACTTCTCTGACAGGTTGGTTACACATACACAAATAAAAGTGTAATCGCAAGGAGAAAACGTTGCTTTTGTTTTTGTTAGAGATACGTGTAAAAGAATGAGGTTTGTGGACACCTGCCTAGGGCATGATTTGCAATGAGACACTTGCCTGTTACCCAGTAGACTACTGGAACTTCTTTGGCTTTGGTGAAACATCTATGATTTTCTCAGTATAAAACAAAGTTACACTCTGGTGAACAGAGACCTGATGTTTTGAAAGCACTTTGGGAACTTACAAGCTTTAATCAGAAAGCAAAAGTATGATTTTTATATCCTCGATATAGATTTGGTTGTGGTTTAAAATCTCTTCTCGTGCCTAATGTAACAGATTTATCATTGAAAGTGACATGCAAGGTGCATGCATGCATAGTGGCAATAATTGATGGAGATGGACGATATAAATATTTTGTGTAATATAAAACACATCCAAGACATTAGAAAATTATCTTATCCTATGAACAATGATTACATGAAAACCCAAGCTATTAGTGTGAGACATAACTAAATGTCAAATTAGGTAATTAGAAATAACTTTTAGGCTACCAAGTCATAGAGAACAAGCCATAGAACTTGTCCTGACTTCTTGTTAGTTTGAACATCATTTGTAGACAAGGTACCAAATGAAACGTAGCATTTAAAAAACAAGCTATACAACTCTTATCCATGTGGGCCATTGCTTTGCCCTTCAATACATTTGGACACCTGAAGTCAGTGGTTGTGGATCTAGGGCTTGCAATCTGCAGTTGTCTGTTTATTATCATTGAAAGCTTTCAAAGATTCCTTATCACTGGATCAAATCACCTTAAACCCTCTCAAAAGTCTTTCAGGGGGCATACATTGTGAGCATAACATTAATTTCTTACTTTTCCAAAGTAAAAATACCATATGTGCCAGTTGGTGGGCTTTCTTTTCACTCTGTTAGTAATTTCTTTTGATGTGTAAAAATCTTTTTTAATAAGATGAGATCCCAGTTGTTGTCTGAAGTACTTCCTGCCCAGCTGTGTTCCTGCTCACCAATTCACTGTCCCTATGTCTTCAAGATTTATATCTACTTTCTCTTCTAGTATAGTTAGTGTTTCTGTTTTAATATTTAGAGCTTTGATCCATATTGACTTTCACAAAGGAGATAGAAAGGGTCTGTTTTTCAAGCACCCTTTAGAAAGAAGCTCTCTTTTTAGCAGAGAACATGTCTGGGCCCTGCACTGTGTGTTTGCAATTTTGTCTGCACCTACATATTTTAAAACAAAGAACACAAAATGTTAAAAAAGAAAAGTACAAAATGATACAAAATTTCAATAAACCAAGTGATAGGAATTGGACGATCATTCTTGTATTGCATGCTAGCTTCAAATTAGTTGTTTAGGTTACCAGATAGAAACCTGCACAATGGGTTTAAAATATTATGAGAAATTAAAAAGAAGAAAAAATAAAAAAATAAAATGTAAGCATCAACTGCTTCTTTCAATATACCAGCAGAAACCAGCAAGTACAATTATACAAACCGGCCTGCATATGTGCACAGATATGTCTCTTTCTCTTCTATCTTTTGTCCTTTTCCTCATCCTACTTTTTCCCTCCCATTGAACAAATTCTTTCCTTTTTTACAGTATCTACATACCTTTCAGATTTTATTTACTCTCAGGTTCTCACACTAGTGAGACAATACAATGTTTGCACATGCAGGTCTGATTTATTTCACTTACCAATACAGTCTCTAGTTGCACCCATTTGCCTATAAAAGCCTGAAAATTATCTTTTTTTATATCTGAGTAATATGCTATTGTGTAAAAATACCACGTTTTTTTATTCATTCCTCAATTGATGGGCAGCATTTGGGCTGTTTCCAAGATTTATCTATGACAAATATGCATCTGCACCTTCCAGTCTTTTCCATTGATCCTCAGGTCTGATTTTGCCAGCACCACACTAATTTTTTTCTTTTTTATATGTACCTAGTACACGGTCTACAGGGTCTCGTTCATTACACAGATAGGACTCAGAGTGATACTCCAGTTTCCAGCCTCCTGAGCACTGGGATTACAGGCCTTTGCCACTGCACCCGGGCTCATTCACTGTCTCAGCCTGCCCTGTGAGTGGGGCCAGCATAGCACTGGAGATCAAATCCAGGCCCCTGCATCTGCCTAATTGAGTGCTTTAATCCATTGAGCTATCTGGCAGGCCCTATCATGCTGATTTTATCATAGTAGCTTTGTGATATAATTTCAGGTCAGGGATTGTGATGTCTCCAGTCATGCCTTTGTTGCCCAGGATTTTCTTTGCTATTCTGAATGTTAGGAACACTTTTTCTATATCTGTGAGTATGCTAATGATATTCTGATCATAATTGCATTAGATCTGTATAACCCTTTTGGTAGGATGGACATTTACACAATGTTGGCTCTTCCTATCCATGAGCAAGAAATGTCTTTCCATTTTCTGAAATCCTCTTCAATCTCTTATTTTAGAATACTGTAATTTTCAATGCATAGACCTTTTACTTCTTACAATAGATTGATTCCTAATAAATACATAATATATATTATATATTATTACATAGTATGCGATTGTATAGGTATTATTGTATAGGACATGGTTTGCTAATGTCTCTTTCAATACGTTTGTTGTTTGTGTACAGGAATGCCATTGATTTTTGAGTGCTGACTTTGTATCCTGCTGTGCTTCTGAATTTGATTATTAAATCTAAAAGTCTTTTGGTAGACTTTTTGGGGTCTTGTATGTACAGTATCATGTCAATGGAGAATAACTTAAATTTAGTTTTTCCTTTCTTATCCTTATTTCCTTTTATTTCTCTCTGTTTTCTGATTGTTCTGGCTAATGTTTCCAGAACTTATATTGAAAAGGAGTAGTGGTAGTGGACATCCTGGTATTTCACCTGATTTTTGAGTGAAAGTAGTCCATTTATTATGATGTTGGTTGTTGGTTTGTCACAAATAGCTCTTAACAGGTTGAAATAAAGACCACTTATTCATATTTTCTGTAGGTTTTTTAAAATCATGAATGAGGGTTGGATTTTGTAATATATACATATCATATAATTATATATGCATATTATATTATAATATATATCTTATATTATAAGATAATTGTACTACTAATTTCTATTATTCTTTGAAAGGGACAGTTAGTGTTTATATTGCTTGATAAATCTTACATACCTACATTTGATAATCTGAGAACTACTTTGAAGGTAGCAATACACAATATAATAACCAACTTTAATTTCAGTAATATAATTTTGTTGGGGAAGGTGAGATAGCTCAGCAGAGTAAAGCACCTGCTTAGGAAAGCTTAGGCAAGTATAGGGACTGGGGGTCAATCCCCAACACCATATGCCATGCCAGCCCCACCCCTAGGGCAGACTGAGCTGGCCGGTGTTCGGGCATAGTGGTGCATGCCTGTAATCCCAGCGCTGGGGAGGCTGAAAGCAGGAGGATCACTGTGAGCATGAGTCCGAGCTGTGTAGTGAGGCCCTGCAACATATATATGGTAGGATGGACCGAATATATATATTCGGTATTATTTATATTTTTAAATATCTTTAAAATTAAGAGGGAAAAAGAGACACAGTATTTGTGAAATATTATCTAGTTATAGTTCCACAAAATGAAAAACAGGTGCCTTCTGTTTGCTTGTTTGAAATAAAATAATTTTATTTGATTTAGTCATGAAATTCTCAAAACTTGTACAGAGATCAGCTAATTTTTTTCCACATCCTTTTTTCAGCTTTGCCTCAGTCATTCAGTAGTGTCATGCAGGCTTATAATGAATGCCTGTTTGTGTATTTTTGGCATAGTTTCATATTAACTATTTTCAAAACTCAGTTTTTGAATGGTTCATTCATAGAATTTCAAAAATCCACTATTTTCATCCTAGAGATTTAAGAATTAGACTTTACAGTTGTTCTAAGATTCTTTTTCTTAGCATATAAAACAAATGCTTAGGAATGCCAGTCATCCATAGATTTGTAATATCATTCTTCTTTATCACAATGTATTACCAGGTGTTCTTCAGTATGTATAGGAGTAATATGGTCACAGATTGAAGAGCCAAGCTACTATTCTTCTTTAAAACATTGTACATAATGTCATAAATATACATCTTTAAATATTACCATGTTTTCCATTTTAAATGATATAGACTCTTGAAACTATTCGTCCTTCAAAAAATTAATGCTGTGCTCAAAAGAATAAGAGCTTAAAAAAGGTTATTTTGATATAACCACTGTTCTTGGGCCTTGTTCTTCTTCTGTATGAACATAAACCCTCTTCAAATTGAGTATCTATTTATATTCTTATAAGCATGTGGAGCTTTTTTCCAGGGATGATATTGCAAGATTTTTCTTCATTGTTTTTACTCGGGGTTCTTAAAATAAATATATTCAGATGTTAAGATTTTTTTATCTTGCCACATGAAAATTTCCCCCAATATACAAAGATGATAGTTTCTGAAAGAAAGTATTTCAAATCAGAAATAGTATGCGATTCACATAATCCAGTGCATTTAAATTTTTATTCTCTCATATAAAATGGCTGAAAAGTTTTATTATATTTTGAAAAGAACCAGTATACATGAAATCAATCTATAATTCCAAATGGATTGTGAATTAAAAAGCCAAATTAAATATGTTTACCTTGTACTGACAGCAGAAAATGAGATAACACAATAGATCTTTCCTTTGACATGTTGGCTTTGAGCATAGCAGGTACATTTTAATTTTCTTTGAATATCTATTGCAACCCCATTGCTAGCAGAAAAGGTATAGGGCAGTTTTTAACACAGACTGCAGAACTATTTTATAACAGTTTGTTCCTCAGAAAAGGAAAGCATAATAGGAAATGAACGCAAACCTTTCAGAGTCCTGAAGAGGATGGGATCAGACAGGGGTCCAACTCCTTTTGCATTTCTTGCTTGAATTCGAAAGTAATACATTGTATCAAGGTTGAGATCCATAATTTGGTGAGTAAGCCGATCACCACTGATTGTTTCTATAATCCAGTCATCAATTGGTATGTTCTTATCCAAGGTATAAAACAAGATGTAAGCTGCATAAATAGACAAATGTGCCTTTATTTTATGTATTTAGTGTGGTAGTACTGCTTCTAAACATTTATGTTTCCCAAATATAATTTGCACTGATTACTATTGGCCTGCGATCTATAAACTATAGTGTTGCTTTGCAAGTAATATTTTTTACTCATATTGCAAGCTTTAGATAAATAATTGCTTCAATATATAGAATGAGAAAATAAAACAGACCATTAGAAATAAAAGTATAAGCCACATTAAAAAATTCATGATTTCTGCTACCAATAAATCATTATTATTGGAGATATATATATATTTATATATGTATATGCATGATGAAAAATGTAAAACAAAAATACCAAGTCTGTATAACTCACTTCCTTCCAATAAGAAAAATAATAAATATTTATTTTGGCTTGTGCTTAAGTGACACACTGGAAAGTATAAAATGTCATACATGTTTAAAGTGTTATAAAAATAAATGATCATATTTTATTATTGCAATAACTCTTGAGGTTGGCAGGCACAGTGTTGTTATGATCGGCTGAGAGTGACCCAAGCCACCTGGTACAATGGCTGGAATGAAATTCTGTACTGTGGCAGCAATGATCAATGCTATTTCTACTTTTCTAACTAGCGAGACAAATAAACAAATGCTACTGGATGCCTGTAAGTGATTCAGTTAATGTCTCAAAATTTAATAATGTTGCTTGATACTGTTACTAATTCTCTACGTTAGGGGATGGGTTTCATGAATGTTAATAGTATCCTCAGTTACGATATTCTAACGTCCCCCCAAATACATCAGGTATTTTTGTAAATTACCCATATTGTAACATTAGGGATCTAGCTTTTATTTAAAGATATTAATTAATAATTCTTATGATATAATCCTAGATAAAATTATACATAGCTCATTATAAATATTTTTGCTACTATCTCCATTTTGGCCAAAATTCTGCTGTGATGTATTACATAAACCACAGAAGTCTGGAAGAGTTTTCTTAGGCATTCAATACATTATTTGTAAATAACTTCCTTATAAACAATAGTCTTCCATGAATCACCCTTCTTTTGAGTCCCTCTTCACACCATTTGGCCTGGGATTTTTTATACATAGCTCTTTGTGTTGATTATATGACCAAGTTCTCTGATTCAGATCCAGTTTCTCTTCTGAAGTAGTCACACACTATCTCCACATTTCAGCATCAACCCTCAAAGGTTCTTCAGGATTAGGCAGCGTTACAAACACTGAAGCCAGCACACAGAAGCCCATTTCTCTTAAAATCTGACCAATGCTAAAACTATTTTGCATTGGCTTTAACTTTTCCTGGTGTTTCCCCAAGCTGTTTAATCATAAGACTTACTGTAGGAATGAATACAAATTGTTACAAATACACACTATGGAAGATCCCTTTGATTTAATACCTGGGTGAACATTCTCTAATGGCTCCCAATAACTGTAGTCCCTGATTCTACCTCTCTGTGTAATCCTTTCTGTCTAGTCTTAAATTAATTCTAAGACTGGCTTCTAACAGGATGGCTATGTTTTCCTTAATTATGTAATACTATGATTTCTGTTTTGATAACAGACTCGATCGATTCTCTCCTTTGATAAAGCAAGCTGCCAAATGGAGAAGACCACATGGCAGGAAACACAAGTGGGTTTTGATGAAGCACCAAAAAACTGAAGCCTGTTGACAACCACATGAAATTAGAAGCAAGTATTTCCCCAGTAAAATCAAAGATAGAACTTTTGCTAGACTAACACCTTGATTTGTAGCCTTGTAAGAAATCCTACAGCTGAGTATTTAACTAAATTATGCTCTGATTCTGGGCAACAGAAACTGAGACAACAAATATACGTTGTTCTAAGTTACTAAATCTGTGGATATATTGTCTCACATACAAATAAATATATGTAGATGATTTACATGATTTTTT